TGGCTTCTGGGAAACAAGCTCCTACGTGAATTTAAGTTTTGTTGGCAGCAGTTGGAAATTTGCTTTTAAAGGTTCAGTAGGTCTAACTCCACTGTCTCACCTTCTCCATTCCCCAAACAAGCTCTCAAGGGAATTAAACAAGACATTTACAAATTACATCTATAAAAATTAAAAAAAATACGCAGGATACACAGCCCAATTACTTAAGTGCATCATCATCTTTCCTTCAGTGTATTCTACTTCAAAATTGTGTCAGCAGTACAGTTTTAAAACACCAGAATTCACCACAAGCCAGTAGCATATGATTCAGACAAAACTGCATGCTCCCAGGAGAAAGTCAGCATGTACCAAGTCTCCTTTTCAGAACAAACATTTCTTTGGTGCAAGCAGTCCTTAATGCCTTCAGGCTCATTATTTTGTGTATATTTGCATGTGGGGGAAAATAAGGATGTCCAAAGCATGACTTTTGCTATTTCATAAATGCCAGAACAGAGAAAGACAGATAAAAGGATTGTTCTGCTACTCAGCTTGTTGATTACCAGGTCTGATTACACTGGCTATTTTGAAAGAAAGTATATAAATGATTAAAGACTAAAAAAGATATTAAGGACTAGTGAATATGGCTAGTTGACACACACAATAACAAAAGCTGAAATATTCCACCATGACAGTGTGGAATTGTTTTCAAAGCACATTATATTGTTCTACAATCCATTGATGAATAAAAATGAACAGTATATAACAAGGTCCATATTCTGGTCCTGTGGACAGATTGCCATCAGTGGTCCTGATCTTGCTTTTGTTCACAGCCACTTGGAGTTCACGTGCCTCCATATACAGTTGGGACTACATATGTGCAAATTGAAGATATATTTTTAATTATTCACATAGCCTGTCCTTGACGCAGCCTCAGGGTAAGAGCAGTATTAGTGTATTAAAATAATTATGCAAGTTCATCTCAATTAATGGAAAACTCTTTAGGTTAAACATCAACAGAAAACAGTGCCCTTTAAAGGACAGATCAGTACTGGGCACTTCTGCACATCAGTATACAACCAGTTGTGTAAATATTTGCAAAAGCTTTGGTTCCTTTCTCTCATATTATATACTACGGTCTTGCTCTGACAGTACAGCATGCTACACCCATTAAAAGACTGGACAAGATCTTCTGATCACAGGTGGCTGAGTCTAAGCTGCTGACAGATTTTTTTTCCCCCCTAATTTGGGGGAAATTTCCAAATTTTAGTAACTTTATCAAGTCCATTTTGGACCTGGAATTCTAGATATAAGCCTGTATCTTCTCTTACACTACTTTGGTTTATGCTTTCATCACTCGTAACAATAGAAGATTTTATTTTAATGATAAGGTGAGAGCTTTTATAATATTGTTAAGTGTAAGAATATATGTCTAATTCTGTTGCAGTCACTCTGAATAGTGACCTTTAATAAACTTTGGGATTAACCTCAAAGAAAATTCTTGCACAGTTTTAGATAGAGCACTGTTTTTTCAATTGTATCATATTGTCTATGTAACTAATGCAACATTTATTGTCTTTGCTTTCCTATTTTTGTTCCCTCTGTCTTTGGAATACAGAGCCTTGGCACTGGTGTGTGGTTATAGAGCCCTTGGACTTCACTGACGACATGAGCATAAGGAGCCATACAACAGCCACTCTCCGGGCACTGCCTGTCCTGCACCTCGGCAATCTCATGCAAGTAAATGCCTCACACTTGATCACGGCTGAATGTGATATGGAGAAAGTGAGCGGTGTTATCAACCCGTAACGTGATGGGATGAGAAGAGGAGCACAGCAGCACCAAGCTCTTTGCAGGTGGAGGATTCAACCCCATGAAAAACAGATCTAATACTTGTTGAAACAATTCTACCAACAAAGGAAAGCAGGACTGCTTGTTTCAAAAGGAGTAAGTTTATCAACTGAACCAAATGGGATTTTCATTTATGCC